TGTTTCATGGGAACATTTCAGCAATATTATTTTTCAGACTCTAGAAAGAACAATAACTTTCCTTTGCTAGAATTTTAAAAGAACAGGCCTAAACTAGGAATGTTATTTTTTATTTCCTTCCAGAAATGGAAAGAAATATCACAAAAGCTGTCTGGCTATAAATATGCCATTGCATAAGCACATTAATGCAATACAGCCACAGTATTTTGTTTGCTATTCCCACAAGGCAAATTACACAACGATAGACTTCTAAAACTTTAGCAGCACTAGTAGCAAGGATAAGAAGCACAAATGTCAAAACATAAAAAAAGTTAGATTTTCAGAATCAAATTCTACTAATTTGCATTACGAAAATGTGTAACACTATAAACATCCCCAAATCAACCAAGCAAGTCCAAATTTATATCATTTTAAATGACAGCACAATTTAACTACTGGTTACTACATTTTTTTTACTGAAATAAAAGAATGTTTGTTCTGAGCAGTCTGCTCCTGCTGTTTATAAGAAGACACAGTTTGTCATTGCTGCAAGATGAAATTCTAAAGCTCATTTCTTGGCTGTGTATGGGAACTGGATTTTTTTAATGTTCTTTCTGGAATATGCGAAACCTGAACAATTCTGTTATTACTATCAGCTGGCTTTACAACAATAATACCTTGAGGCATTAAGGAAAACTGAACTTTATTAAAAATGTCATAAAAGAAATTAATAGTAAGCTTAAAGAAAAAAAGAAAGGCATACTTTACACCTGCAAAGACGTAAACTTGTAAAAGGTTTCAACTTCATAAATACTACATAATTAAATGCAAAGTCAAATGCTGCTAAATGTCTTTAGAAGTATGATAATATTTTGTTCTCCAAAAGATGTTTTATGACACAGATCTAAGCTGATATCTCTGTTACTGCATCCTCTTTTTTGAAACACATGAGCTAGGGAAAGGCAGGTGGGGGAAAAAAACATAGTTCACAATATTGACTGCTGAAAGACCTGATATATCTAAACTGAATATCTTGAAAGGGATTTAAAATTGGATATGTCATCTTTAACCCTTCTGATGACATGGAGCCTTATCGTTAGGCAAAGCGGCCTAATGATTAAAAATAATTCCATTATTTAATCCCCAACTGTGAAATTAGTTGGTATTTCTAGTTGAGTTATTGACAAACGCATCTGAACTTCACAAGAAAACTTCCACTCCCAAAGGCAGTATAGCTCATTTCAAACTAGTCTTTTTCCCAAGGGGCTTTTCCTGAAGAACAGGGATTATCCTAACATGCAAACTTCAACTGCTGTTTTAACAATATTCAAGGTAAGCAAATAATTCTCTTTCTCCAGAGCTGTTGATTTTTACACAAATATCTTTAATGATTTCATTAAAAATCAAGTAGTAAATGTCAACTGACACATTAGCCTTTCTACTGTGAACAATGTAGAAAATTACTCCTTAGACTCCTTTGTTCTATCCTTGGACAATATCTTTCCATTCCTCACAAGCATGTACATTTGAATTAGAAATTTTAATGCTAATTTAGTTCTTCATAATTATGACTATTAGTTTTTAAATAATTCATTCTCTCTCTGTTGGATTACATACTTCAAAAAGTAGGCTTCACTAAAATTACATGCTCTTGGATCTGGTAGCTTACAGACTTGCTCATAATGCATATGAGACTATGGTCTACTTTCTTAAGCACCATTTTAAAATATTTCTGTGAAATACACTGCTATGATTCAGACCCTTGAGGGAGCAATTGGCATAATTGGTTCCAGTTTCTGCTTGTCACTTGCATAATGTTACTGACTCCTTTGTCCCTCAAGTAAAATGAAGGTGATCATAGAATCACAGAATATCCCAAATAGGAAGGGAACCCGCAAGGATCAAGTCCAACTCTTGGCTTCACACAGGACTACCTAAAAATCAAACTATATTTCTGATCCAAACGCTCCTTGATCCACAGCAGCTTGGGGCTGTGCCCACTGCCTGGGGAAGCTTGCTTCATGCTCTCCAACCTCTGGTGGATAAAGTTTTCGGGTCCCCCGCCTGATCGTTCCCTGACACAGATCCTGTTGCTGTCGTGCCCTCTGCTGAACAAGCCAGCAGTGTGCCCAAGTAGTCAAGGCCAATGGCGTTCTTGCATAGGCTGCAGGAGAAGGGAGGTGATTGTCCTCCTGATACTCAGCTTTGATGAGGCTGCACCTTCAGTACTGTGTTTGGTTTGAGCTTCTCAATACAAGAAAGACATTGAGGCCCTGGAGCATATCCAGAAAAGGGGAAAAAAGCTGTGAGGGGTCTGGAGCACAAGTCTTATGAGGAGTGGCTGAAGGAACTGGGATTGTTCAGTCTGGAGAAGAGGAGGCTCAGGGGAGACCTCTGTCTCTACAACTGCCTGAAAGGAGGTTGTGCTGAGGTCAGTCTTTTCTCACTGGTAGCAGCAATAGGAGGAGAGGGAGCGGCTTCAAGTTGAACCAGTGGAGTTTCAGGTTGGATATTAGGAAAAACTTCTCAGAAAGAGTGGTGAGGTACTGGAATGGGCTGCCCAGGGAGGTGGTGGAGTCACTGTCTCAGGAGGTGTTCAAGGGTGATGTTGTACTAAGGAACGTGGTTCAGTGGGCAACATTGGTGGTAGGTGGATGGTTGGACTAGATGATATTAGAGGCCTTTTCCAACATTAATGGTTCTATAACTCTATGCTGGTAAGTAACCAGAGAGCAGTGCTCAGCGCTCTGTGCTCTGCTCCCCTCATGAGGAGCTACAGGCCACCATGAGGACTCCCCTCAGCCTTCTCTGGGCTGAACAAACCAAGCAACCTCAGTCACTCCTCACAGTCTTGCCTTCTTTGTAGCTTTTGTGATCTTCTGGGATGCACTGGAAGCATCTGCTAGAAAGCTAGTTCAGATCTGGAATACAAATAAGAAAGACACTGATGGACAGTGTCACCTTACATGTGACATAGAAAGAGAAGGTAACTTAGCACATCAGACCTTGATAGACTGTCCGGTAGCATTGCTGGACTCAACAACCACCCCTAATCCGTCTGTGAAGAACAGGTCTGAGTTTTCACTCAGGATCAGGATCTTGTCTGCCTTTTCTTCAGTATCCTGTAAACGTTCTCCTTCCAGGACTAGAACAGCACACTTGCGTACAGGATTTCTTATCTTAACATTTCAAGAAATGCCTCATATTAGCAATTCACATACTCTCTTTAGTGGGCTGTGAAATACCAGCTAAAGAGAAGTGTGACAATAGAAAGTACTGAGACATGTAAGTGTCACGCATTACACACATTGCCAAACCACGCTGGTAGCAGAGTACTATAGTCTCTCCTCTGATACACCCCAAGTAATGGGTATCACTGGTCAGTCTTTTTCTCCTAGTTCCCAATGTTTAACTTCGCAAATACTGGACCAAAAAGAAAAAGAAAAAAAAAGAGCTGCTCATACTTACAACTGCTTTGGCAGCTGCTCCTGCATAGTGACAGAAACACAATCTAGTTCAACACAGAGATCATTACCAGATTTTACAAACATGGTCATTCCCAACAGGTTCCCAGAAGATGACAGAGAATTATCAAAATTATTTCGTTCCCTAAGTAATGAAGTCAAGATCCCCAGACTGAGATAGAAAGGTAGATCCACTCTTATCTTTGTGCAACAGATCAGAAGGCTTTCTTTATTACTTGTGCTTCAAATCCAATTGTTGTTAACTCTAAATGGAACTCACTACACTGAGAATACAATATGTACACATAAGGACAGCTAGTGGAATGCTAGTTAGTACCATATACAAGCATTTAAATTAAATAGTCATTTCTTATGTGTTCTCACGGGCTCACCAGCACTCATAATTTGCCTCTCATTTACTATTTCATCCATGTCTCAGAGCATGATGGTACTAATTATTTTGAGTTACTTCATTTTCAAGTGCCTCATTCTGGATTTACAGATCTTACACATCTTCAGTGCAAAGATGGCGGCTTCTGTTCTGCACACAGCCATTAAACAGGTTGTCATTTGCATCTCTTCCTTCCAGTGAAAGTCTGGGAATGTTCATTATAAAAATGCAGACTGCGTTTCTCTTAAATCGATTGAATGGTAAATGTAATTATAGATTTTCTCAGGTAAATAGAATTTACACATCATCTGGCCTCACAAGAGGACCTTCCTTTCCTTATTAGTTTTTGGAGTTAACTCTTTGCACGCTCAGAGAATCCATATTTATATAGAGACCCACTTATCTTCAAACAAACACTTACCTTTGATCTGTGCTTCTGTCATTCCTACCCTTGTGGATAGAAAGGAAGATGGGTATTGGTATAAAACACACAAGAGTTTTAGAAATGTTGCACTAGGGATGAAAATTTCAGAGAAATTCTTCTGTAACAATTGTGTGAGTGGAGCAGTGATGTTCATAAGGTGGGTTTGTCCTTTGCCCAGTGTGGTGAATCCTGTCTGAACACCTCTGCAAGTGTAAGCTGCTCTCCAGCAAAGCTCTTCCCGTCCAGCTGGCTGCTGACCGTGTGGAATGAAGTAGTTCAGCAGAGCACGGGGTGATCTGCATTAATTCCCTCTCTGTGGAGCTTTTGCTTTCCCACCAGAGGGCACATACTGTGAGTGCACAACTGCCTTAAGAGGAATTTAAAATACATTTTATTGTGTAACAGATAAAGGAATTGACTGGAATGCCAAGGTTCTGTACTCTGCTCTGTGTGGAGAGGCTACTAATTCATCATGAGACTCACTGGATAAACTATTCCACTTGCTACAAAATCACTTTTAGCATACTTTTGTCTGATCTTGTGTGCTGGATGCACAGTGCTTTTGGGTAAGGGCATTTGTTTAGCTACTGAGACAGCCCATTGTACCACAACAGCACTCATTCTGAACACCACAGCAGTAGCTATTTCTGTGGTTCTAGGCTTTAAAAATTTAGGAATGGGATATTAAATGTAAGTAGGAGTCAGTGAAAGTGTGACTAGAGAGATATTTCAGGTGAATTACCTGGAAGCAGGGGCGGGTAAGAGGGCAACTGTGACAGGGCAGCAAGCAGCAAGGCAGATGGCCAGGGCAGCAGCGGATCCCGCGAAGGTACACAGTCAGCACCGTAAATGGGCGGAGTGTGGCACATTTTGAACGTTCACACACATCCCGGCGCTGGAGGCCGCAGCGGACGGGCAGGCCGCGGCGGTGAGGCCTGCGGCGGCGGCTCAGAGCCAGCCGGGCGCCGTGCCGTGCCGTGCCGTGCCGTGCCGTGCCGTGCCGTGCCGTGCCACCAGGCCCCGGAGCCGGGCGGTGGCGAACTACGATTCCCAGCGAGCCCCGGACGGCCTCAGGGCGGTGCGATGGGAGGGGAAGGGCGCTGCTGTGGGAGACATAAAATGGGCGCCTAACGACGGGAGGAAGGTAGGGGTGGGCCGTTGGCCGTGCTGGGAGCGTTGGGGGTCGCGCTCGCTCTGCGAGGCCGGGCCGAGGCGCTGCTCTGCGTGCGTTGCACCGCGTCGCAGGGGGAGCGCTGGGAAGCGGGGCGGGCCCGGGCACGGGCACCCGCTGCCGCCGGGGGGCGGTGGGGTGGCGGCCCGGCGCCGCTTTGCCCCTTCCCGTGCTGCGGGCGGCACGGCGGGGGAGGCTGACCCGCTCCGCCGACACAGCTCGGCGCGGCGGCAGAGCGGAAGGCGGCGAGGGACGGGACGGGACGCGGAGATGGCGGAGACCGGCTCCGTGCACGCCACCCGGTTCGAGGCGGCCGTGAAGGTGATCCAGAGCCTGCCCAAAAATGGTGAGTGCGGCCGGGGGACGGCGGGGCGGGCGCGGCCGGCGGGGGTTTGTGCGGCGGAGGGGCCGGGGGGGAGCGGGGCCCCGTCCTGTCTGAAACGGCACCCCGTCCTGTCTGAAACGGCACCTCCGAACTCGGGAAAGAAGTTCCTCCTGGAGGAGGGGTCTGCGGCTCCTGCCGGCCCGCCGCTCTGCGCTGGGGAAGGGCCGTCCTCAGGTTCTGACTTGGTTTGGCAGCTTGGGAGCTGATGTCATGGGATCCTTCTGCTGAAAGGCTTAACGAAACGGCAGTGCAAAACGTCAAAATGTGTCCTTTTGGTCGCTGTGATAAATAAAGATGGGTTTGTTAGGAGCTGGGACTAAAGGTCATTGTTGACATCCCCTAATGACAAAAATCCAGCCCCAGAATATTTCATTTAAAGGAGTAAGTATGATTTTTTTCTGCCAGTTATTGCAGTTTTGTGTTTGCGCTTCCTACCCCTACAAACGTTTGTTCTACAAAGGAAGAGGAGAGAAGAAAACGAGGAAGAGTGATGAGGCTGTGATTGGAAGTCCTGTCAAATAACAAGTAAACAAAAGCAGTGCAGGAGGAGTTGTTGTTATTCTGCGTTCTGGAGTCTTTTGGTAGATTCCTGTTTGCCATGTGAAAATGACCTGTGACATACTTTGTTACCGGAAGTGGAATCTGCCCCTTTAAACTAAGTGAAAGTAGCCTTGCTCTTTGTTACTTATTACTCTTCTTGCTAATTGTGGATTCTGACGTTAGAAGCAGTAAGGGTTATAGTCCCTATTTAATCTGCAGCTTGCTCTCTGTTTGTAAAGTAAATATTGTCAGTGTGGCTGACTCAGTTAGATGAAGGGAACATGTTTTTCATTGACTTAAACTGCACTGCTGTGAATGAAGCTGGAATAAACTGCAGGCTATTTTCTGACAGAAATACTAAGCTTGCAAAATACTTGCTAATATACTTGATTACACTTTAATTGTATTTTAAAATGCTTTCAATAGGTTCTTTCCAGCCAACAAATGAAATGATGCTGAAGTTCTATAGCTTTTATAAGCAGGCAACACAAGGACCCTGTAACATTCCGAGACCTGGATTTTGGGATCCTATTGGTAGATATAAATGGTAACTTTTCATGACTTTTTTTATGCTTGGATGGAGGTGTTAAGAGGAGTAGTTCTTGAAGGAATAATTTCTTTCTTTTTTTTTTTTTTCATTTTCTTTTTAAATCTCTGTTACTGTGTTTTCCTTCTTGTTTCTCTTTCAGATGATTTTTTTGAGGAGTTATAAACCATCTTAATGTTTCCACACTGTATATCCACCCTGTAGAACAAAACTAGGCAGTCTGCGGAGTGTGATGTACAACAGTGTCTGAAATTCTTCCTTCTTATATTATATAATATGAGCATGAAGTAAATAGATGCTCACTGAAAGGTTTTGATACAGCTTCAAGCTCTTGGGGTGAAGTTTAGTTTGTGCCTGGTTTATGTGCTCAGTGGCAGGACTTGCTGCCGATAGCATTTTTTTTAGACAAATTATAAGCCTTCTGAGCACTGTTTGAGAACCTGTATGAACGCTCCCCTAATTAAGTTATTTTAATAATCTTTTTCTGAAAAGCAACTGGAAAGGTAGGTATTTTTTAGGTCATGAGTTAACTATGGTGGTAGCTGGAGGCAATGATTAAATTATTTGCCTATTAGACAGGTGCATCTTTCCTTTGTTGCTAAAAACTCAGATGCAAAGGACGACATGCTTTTGTTGTAGCCTATTCTGACTTATTATTGACTGACTTATTCTGACAGATATTTGTAGGTGCCAGCTGAGTACTAGGCTATTTTTTTTCTGTTGTAGAGGGCCCTAAGTCAGTCAGAAGGGAAGTATGTGTTTTTCATAATATCTGGACTTATAAACAACTTTACTGGGTACAAGATCATAGTTGATTAGTGAGGAACTGTGTAGTCCCTGGGCTGTTCATTTTGTTTGTTCTATGTGTATGTCCCTCTACTTATCCTATAAAATTACAAACTTGGACGTAATAGCAATTTGCAATTTTATTTTATTTTTTATTTTTTTACATGTATGAGAGAAACTTTGAGCATTATATAACTGACCTATTTAAGGCCAGGCTAAAAAAAAATCCTGTGGGCCTTTGAGTTTCTGAAGATGTGTGACTTTCTTTCTTAGGGATGCCTGGAGTGCCCTGGGAGATATGTCCAAAGAGGAAGCCATGATAGCTTATGTTGAAGAAATGAAAAAGGTAAATTTATTAACAAGTGGAAGGTATCTTTTAGAACAAATATTCCATGAGGTAAACTAGGAAATGTGAAGGAATTCTCAGTGAATGCTGTCAGAGCTCCAAATGAATTCTTCCTTATGTGAGCTGTTACACTTCAGGACTATGCTTTTTGGCCTGTGGGGCAAATAAAATTCTGTAGTTTTCTTCAAAGCTACTGAATTTGGGTTGGTCTGGGGGAAGTAGAAATAGAAGAGTTCTAGTTGATAGGAAGCTTAAGTGACAGAGCTAAAGTAGTACTGAAGCATTAGCTAAGGTAGATGTTCAGAATTAAGGTTTCTTGTCTTTTACTGCCTAATCCTTTGCTCTGCAATCCTTTACACTGTATCTACTTCAGGTAGCCTTTTCAGTTTAAATATATATTTTTCTTTTTTTATGGTCACTCTGGATGAAGATATCTGTAACTTATAATGAGGTTAGCATCAAGGCAAGGGAAATCTAAGTTTTACTCTGGATACACTTGTTTTTCCCCTTGGGACAGTATTTTAATCGTCCTAAATGTCTGCTGGAATACTTGGCACGATTGATAATTGGTATAGCAAAAAAACCTTTACTTGGTATGGAACTGGAATTCAACAACTACGTTTTTCTCTCTGTGATTTTTGATTATTTTGTTCTCGTTAGCACTGCTGTTGCTGCTTTTAAATGAAAAATTTAAAGCAAACAAACAACATAACCCCACCGCACCTCCAGAAAACAGAGGAGGCCATATGTTATTCATCTTAATTAGGTAAATTAAAAACAAAAATCCCTACTAAATTTTAACAATTTCTTTTGAATGCAGATCACAAGATTTAGTGCTTTCTTTCAAATCTCCATTTTGAAATGCAGTGACATCAGCAGTGCACTTGCTGTTTTCAATGCAGTAGTTGACTTGTCAGAATGCTGAAAATTAGGTGAAGTTGTTTTTGCACCGAACAAACACCCCAGTAAGGCTTCTGTGAGGAAGCCTGCTTAGTTGACCCAAATGAAGCACAAATATTCTGCCTCTGTAGAGATCACGTGTAAGGATTGGAGAGCAAACGTCTTCTTACCTCATTCAGCTTTGAAACTAGGAATCTGTTTACCCTGCATTGCTGCTGCTTCAGCCCTCACACTTGAAATGCTGGCTTTAGCTTTTCCAGGCTGATTTGTTCTACTTGAATCATCAATAGAAGTGTGTGTTCCAGGTCCACTGGATTGTTCTATCAGCGCATACCACACTCATCTCCATGGTGTTACTGCAGGTGCTCTGCTGCTGCTATCTATGCCATCTATGGTCAGGTTGGAAGGTGACATCTGGATACTGATGTAACTTAAGGGTATACCCTTGCTATGTTTTCTCCCCATTCCACCACCATGGGGCATAACTCTAGGCTGCACATGTCCAGTGTCTCATTCACTGCATTAACATTATTATTTGTTTGGTGGCTTTGGTGGTTTATTTTCCCTGGAACGTGCCCAAAGAAGGGCAATGAAATTGGTGAGGGGTCAGGAGCACAAGTCTTATGAGGAACGGCTGAGGGAGCTGGGATTGTTTAGTCTGGAGAAGAGGAGGCTCAGGAGAGACCTCATTGCAGTCTACAACATCCTGAAGGGAGGTTGTGATGAGGAGGGGTTTGGCCTCTTCTCCCAAGCAACAAACAGTACCCAAGGAAATGGCTGCAAGTTGTACCAGAGGAGGTTTAGGTTGGACATAAGGAAGAACTTTTTCTCTCAGAGAGTGGTCAGGCACTGGAATGGCTGCTTAGGGAGGTGGTGGAGTCATCGTCCCTGACAGTGTTCAGGAGGTGCCTGGATGAGGAGTTATGAGATATGGTTTAGAGGCTTGTGGTAGCAATGGTAGTGGGAGGACAGTTGGACTAGATGATCTTACAGGTCATTTCCAACCTTGTGATTCTATGATTCTCAAGTGGCAGTGCTGAAAACTGCAGTTGTTGAAGAAGGGGTGTGGGTGAGATGTTGAGTTGCTGGGTGGGTATCCAGCATCTTAGTCCCTGCTAAGATGAATATGAGCTCAGGTGCATTTTGTTTAAGATAAATATCTCTTCCAAGTCACACTTCTGAAACTTCTATGTTGTAATACTGTTTAGAT